TAATACCAGCATTCAGCAGGCTGAGGCAGGAGGATCACAAGTTTGAGCACCAGCTAGGCAACTTAGTGCAAAGGCCCTGGCTTCAATCCCCAGCATGACAAAAATAACTACAAAGGCATGGTGCCACAACATTGATTCTTATTTAGCTTTTAGGTTTATTTGGTTTGGGTTTTGCTTTTTTTTTAAGACATGGTCTTGCTCTGTAGTACAGACTGGCCTTGAACTCACTGTATAGTTCACGTTGGCCTCTTGTGGCAATCCTCCTGCCTCTGTCTCCTAACTCCTGGGATTACAGATGTGCACCACCATGGCCAGGTTTAAGTCTATTTTGACATCAGTTTTTTCCCCCATAAAACAGTGGTGGCAAACCTATGGCCTGTGTATTATTTGTTTTGTTTTTTAAGACAAAAGATGTTAAGGTATGAATTTTTTTTCTACACTTGATCTTAGCCAAAAGGCCGAGAAGTGTGGATTTTTTCTACACCAGAACCTTAATAGTCAGGTTTAATTGCAGTGTTGGCATTTTGTGATAAATGGGCTTTGAGTTGCAGTTTGGGCACTCAGTCTCTAAAATGTTCACTGTTACTGTCTTGGAGCATAGCACACATCCATCAAGTATGTGAAAGTTGCTAGGTGTGCTGCCGTTCTCTTGTAATCCCAGAACTCTGGGAGGCTGAGGCAGGAGAATACCACATCTGAGCCCAGCCTGAGCAATTTAAAGGACTTAAGGAGATCCTGTCTCAACATTTTAAAAGAGCTGAGGTTGTAGCTCTGTGCCAAGGTCCTCGGTTCAATTCCCAGGATGTGTGTGTGTGTGTGTGTGTGTGTGTGTGCGTGTGTGTGTGTGTGTTTGAGAGACAGAGACAGAGAGACAGAGAGAGAAAGAGAGGGAGAGAAAGTGAAGAAGAGAGTTAAAAGGTAGAAGCAATGAGTGAAGGAATAGTAGTTAGGAAATAACAGCAGGGTTCTAGAGAATTCAGCTGGCTTTGAGGAACACAATCAATTCTTATCAGAGAAGATGGGGAAAGAAAAGTACTGGAGGACTAAGAGATTTTCTATGATAACTCCATATGCCCTATGAGGTTAATAATATCCCTTAGTTAGTGCGGGTTGGTCAGGTCCACAATCTCCTGAAGGATAAAAAGAGGTAAGTGGAATGATTTTAGGGCTCCAGGAGGATCAAAGCCCTCTCACAGAATTAGAGATTCTCTCAGGGATAAGACCAAAACCTTCTGTGGATGACCCATATTTGTTTAGTTATCAGAAGAAGGGAGGGGGGAACTCAAGAAGAGCAGAATCACTCAAGGACTTCTCCAAGTAAGGTATTAAGTTAATCTACCCAGGAGTGAGATACCTGAGGCTACAGTCTTTATCTAGTTGAGATTGGACCCAGGTATCCTTGTCTGTGACCTTGTCATATCTTTTGAGGCTGTGGGGCTTGCCATTGTAGGCCTTAGTAGGGATTAGTGACTCACAGAGGTTCACTTACTATGAGTCTGCCACCATTTCCAAGCAAGGGGCCTAGGCCTTGGACAGATTCAGAAGTGAACATGAAAAGCCAATGGGTTAACTTAAGTCCTGCTCAGGGCTGCTTCGTAGTGGTCTCTGTCAGTGCCCCTCAAATCCTGCTTCTTGTTTCACGTCTTTGGTAAAGCATTTTGCATACCACAACCCATGTTTTCATTCTCCTCTCAAGGCCCATGGCTTTGGGTCGATTTTGGAACTAATTTAACAATAAGCACAGGGTGGGGGACAAGGGAAATCCCTAGATTGTGGGGTAGGCCCAGAGTGGGGTACAGCTGTGAGCCACACCAGGATGGAGGGGCGACGGTGGCCACAAGGCTGAAGCCACAACATTAAAGACAGAAATCAAAGAAAGACAGAGTGATAGCGGGCACAACTGTGGTTCATAAGTGATCCGTCTGCATTGTTCGACTTCCCACTTCCTTAATTTTTATTTGTCCTTTCTTCTGTTTTCACAGAATTGCTGGATTCCACAAACGCCAATCTGTGGCCACTGAAGCTGTCTTTGGAGGTGGCAATTTGGTTTATCTTGCCTGTTTTCATTGTGGAAATCCTTCTGAAGTGGGTAGCCAGCTTCTCCTTGTACTGGAGGAACCCCTGGAATGTCTTTGACTTTGTTGTCACCCTGTTGGTAAGGGGAGATAGCCTGAGCACCAGCTAGTGGGCTGCAGGGTGTACTTAGTTGAATGGAAACAAGAAAACAGAAAGACAAGAATACAGACGTGGGCAACTTCCTGTGACTTGGGGGGTCAAGGTCAGACATTGCAGGAATTGTTGGTATTAGAAGCAAGGTCAAATCTAATGCTAGCGTCAGTCACAACGATGACAACTGCCAGTCCCTGAGCACCCAGTAAGTTCCGGGCACTGTTGGAAGTGTTTAGCTTGTGTTGTGTCATCTGTGCTTCACAAAACATCAACGAGATGAGCACTCATGTTAGCCGCTCTTAAACTTCAACAAGTTGAAATGCAGGGCATCAACAGCACAGTGTAGAAAGGCTGAATAGGAAACGGTCCCCCAAGACCTAGTCAAGGGATGATGCCCAGGAATGGTGAGGGAGGGTCAGGTTGGGGGGAGACAGGCTACTGTGCCTCGGAGCTTTCAGGTATGTTGCACTCATGATCTTGTTTCCCACAGCCTTTACTTTATGAAATCTTGGTGCTGGGAGGGGTAACAGGCCATCCTGTGTGGCTCGAGCTGCTAAGTATCTGCAGTGTGATGCGGTGTTTCAGGCTGTATGCGCAGTTCCATCAAGTTCAAGTTATTATTTTGGCCCTGGTCAGGACCTTCAAGGTGATTTGATGCGTGTGGCTTCAGTGTGAAGACATGGGCTTTAACACTGACCATGTAGCAAAGCCTGGGTGGGTCAGAGGAGCCAAGGAAGGGGCTGTGAAATGTTTGGGACGAGAAAGGGCTGGGGAGGAGCTGCTGTGGTTTAGGGATGTTGGGCCCCAGTGGAAGGGAGGGCGGGGTGGGGAAGGCCAGGTGGGCTTGCCTGGCTGTTGCTGGAGATCAGCCTTGTCTGCCCGCCTCTGACGTGAGATCCTGTCCCCTAGAGCATCCGATTTCACTTCATGCTGCTGCTCATCCTCTTCTACATTTTTGCTGTGGCTGGCGTCTACTTCTTCAAGGATTTCAGCCGTTCGGGTCGCCAGGACCTGGTGTACCAGGAGTCCTTCTTGTAGGCAGGGCTGGGGAACGCCCGGGTGAGGGAGGGAATTCGGGTTAGGCGCTTGGCAGCTTATGCAAAGTGCAGTCATGCAGAAAGAATAGCCTGGAGAATCTGAGTGGAGCACAGCAAGGAGAGGGAAAGAGAAAGTAAAGGAATAGCGAGGAGCACTGGCTCTGATCTGAAGGGCAGGGTGGCTAGTTCTGGGTTTTACAAATTCAAACACAAGGAGAGCCACAGTTAAGTACTGTATACTCCCACGGAGCAGCTCTGGTTTCTATTATTAATTACAGCTTCTGAAAAATGGGAGTCATAGGGGTGCTGCCTCGGAAGAGCGTGGAGATAAGTGAGACAGTGCATGTACACACTCAGCACAGCACTGAACACACTCTGAGTAATCAGGAAAAGTCACTGCGCCTCTCAGACAAGGTCCTTGCTCCCCCACAGTGATAGTTAGGTGTGGCTATCACACAGGCACACCCCTGTGCTCATTCCACAGTCAAACCCCTGGGGCCTCTGTCTAGAAAACATTGTTCCAAAGAAAGTCAGCTGAATTTAGAGGGGATATTCATGTTTGTGAATTTAATCCAGTCTTGTGAGCTCCCTCCCAGTCTTTCTTACACTCCTCATGGGCAGTTTTGTAAAAGCACTGAGAAGGTCCTAGCGGTCCTCCTACTTGAGCCCCGATGTTTTCAATAAATTGTATGTAGGGAACTAAAAAGGAAGGAGGAATAATTTAGGTATCTTCCTTTTATGGACAACAGATCTCAGAATAGTATCTAAATTTCTTTCTCTATTTTGGAGTGCCAGGAATTGAACCCTGCTCCTTGCACATATAAAGAAAGTGTCCTAGGGGCCGGGGATTTAGCTCAGTGGCACAGTGCCCGCTTGACAAGTGCAAGGCCATGAGTTCCATTCCTGGTACCAAAAAGAAATTTTAAAAAAGGGAAAAAAAAAAAGAAAAAGAAAGTGTTCTACTACTGAGCTATACCCCCAAGCCTGAAATAATTAGTTTTTAAGTTAATTGTATTACTTTCACAATTTTTATATTATTTTTATACATTCATTATCATTCATTATTTGGGACTCCATATGTTTGTGTCAGATATCCATTCATGGATTTACCTGTCAGTGCGTACCAGTGAACTAGACAGGATAAAATCCATAGAGCAATGATGAGTGAATGAATTTAGAAAAACTACTTGTGATTCATTCACTTTTAAAAGTTCAGCCAATACTTATTGAATGCAGTACTTACTCTGCCCCAGGACAATTAGAATAGTGAGAGGCATTGCTAGGTTATTCACGATAAAGGAAAACTTAAAAAAAAAAAATAACTTCAAGCTGAAGGACAAATAGCTAAAAAAAGTTGAACATGGCAGAAAATGTACCAAAGTCAGAGCAAAGTACTGTACAAAGAAATGCCCTTATGTTGCTTTTAGAGCAGGCATTTTTTTTGAGAGGCTGAGATCCCTGCTTCCCTCTTTCCACACACCTTGCTCTGCAGGGGCCTGCCAAATTCCCTAATAACCGTCTTCATCCTCTTCACAATGGACCACTGGAATGCGCTGCTCCGGGACATGTGGAAGGTGCCCGAAGTCAGGTCCTTCATCAGCAGCACCTATATCATCCTCTGGGTTCTGCTTGGCTCCATTATCTTGCGGAATGTCATAATAAGCACTATGGGTAAGCAGAGAGCGGGTGTGACAGGGGGAGGGAGGAGTGGCTGGGAAAAAATGAGTCTGACGGCTGAGACTGGTGGATCGTGGGCAGCGAGAAACTAGTGTAACAGGCAGGCTATGATCCCAGAATTGGATATGTCACTTGATTTCTCTCCACACAGCGAATAACTTCCGGGACATCCGGGACGAGCTGGACAAGGAGATGGCACATCTGGCAGCTCAGCACAAAGCTGATGTCCTCAAGCTGCAGATCCTCAGGAGGTCTGCTACCCGCTTTTCAAACTAAACTCTGTTTCCCAAGAGCCTTCTATCCTCATTGCTGGTTTCCATTCTGTGGCCCTGATCCCACTTTTGCCCTTGTGAGAGAAGATTGGCCCACAGGCTTAAGACTTCGCCAGGTCTGGTCCATCGCCTGCTTCTTCATCCACTGTGAGGGCCTCCTCTAGTGTTCTTCACCCTCCCGACTCCATTTACTTTGTTCACTGATCCAAAGTCTTTTACTTCTTGTTGCACTTCAGCTTAGCATAGCTTTCTTCATTCCTTTTTTGTTTCTGGTTTCCATTGTTTGTTGTGTGTGTATGTGTATTTTTGCAGGAGACAAAACCCATCCTTTACAACACTGAGGTCAAGCCACAGCCAAATCAATACCAGGTGAGTAGTGCATATGTGAACTCAAAATTATCTATCCATGTCCTTAATCTCTGGAACCTTAGGAATGTGTCCTTATATATATAAAGGTCTTTGCAGATGTGGTTAACATGAGAAGTCTTGAGATGTGATCATCCTGTATTATCCAGCTGGGCCCCAAATTCCATGACCAGGAGGATCATTAAGACAGGAAAGAAGACACAGACACAGAGAGTAGGCAGGTGATCTGAAGACAGGGATAGAGACTGCGGCGATGCAGCCAGAAGCCAAGGGAACCTGAGAAGGTCCAAACAGGCCCAAAGGCCAAGGGGCAAGGGACACTTTCTCCTAGAGCCTGCAGAGGTTGAATGACCAACACTTTGATTTCAGACTTATGCTGCAAAACTGTGGAGAATGCATTTATGCTTTTTTTTAAGCTGCAAGTTTATGGTCATGTGTTATAGCAGCCAGAGGAATGCAATATAGATTCCAGCAATGAAACAAATACTGTTCTAGGCCCCGAATGTTTAGCAGTGACTAAGAGAACTTACATAATAGTGGGGTGAAGGGACAATAAGCAGTGAACATGTAAATATGTGCTAAAATATGATAAACCTTACAGAAAGATTAAAGCTAGAACAGGTGAAAGGGGAGTAAATATGGGTTATAGTTTGAAACAGGGTAATTGGGGTATCCTCTTTGAAAAGGGAACATATAAGCAAAGACTTTAAGTTGGGGAGGGAACTTCCCTGTGAATTCCCAATGGATTTGCTTCCATTCGTAGGAAGATCCAAAACTGGAAGCAGGCCTGGTGTGCATGAGAAGTAGCAAGGAGGCCACGCATTGTGCCTGGAGCAGAATGAGCAGGGGGAAGATGGCAGGAGATGAGGGACAGAGTGGGGTGGAGACCTGGTCCTGTGGAACTGAGACACCATTAGGACCTTAGACATTTACTCAGAGGGAAACAGGAAGCAGAGCAGGGGGTGACAGGAAATGACTTACAAGGATTGCTATGAGCTGGGCTTGGTGGCACTCACTTGTAGCCCCAGCACTCTGGGAGGCTGAGGCAGGAGGATTGCAATTTCTAGCCCAGCCTGGGTAATTTAGTGAGACCTTATCTCAAAATTTTAAAAAGCTGGGAATATAGCTCAGTGCAGAGACCCTGGATTCAATCCTCAGTACTCTATGAAAGGAAGAAAGGAAGAAAGGAAGAAAGGAAGAAAGGAAGGAAGAAAGAAAGAAAGAAAGAAAGAAAGAAAGAAAGAAAGAAAGAAAGTGAAAATCTGGTTGCCGGGTTAATGACAAACTGGAAAAGAATGAGGGCTTGGTAGCATACTCCTGTAATCCCAGTACTCAGGAGGCGGACGCAGGAGGCTCCCAGGGCCAGTCTGCACTGCATAATGAGTTTGAGGTCAATTTGGGCAACCTAGCAAGACCATGTCTCAGGAAATTTTAAAAGGGCCCGGGAGATGTCCGGTGAGGAGCAATGCTGTGGCCCAGGGAGACGATAAAGGCTTAGACCAGGGCCATGCCCGTGAATTAGTGAGAAAAGATGCATTTTCATGGGACAGCCAGCAGGATTTCCTGATGGACTGGATGTGGGAGGAGGAAACGAATTAAAGATGAGGCTGAAAGGGCCTAAGCTTAGAGTTTGGGACTAAGCTGGTGCTCATCTCCGTAAATCCCGGCTTTAGGGCACAGCCAGGGCCAGGACGAGAATAACAAGTGATCTAGTCAGATTTTGTAAATGTGCTAGAAAGAATAAAATTTTCCTTACGTGTTCAGAGAAGTCAGTTACCAAAGGATGTCTCTGAACTTCCAAGAAGCTTCTGAAAAAGAATCTAAGCCGAGTGCTATTGAAAGGGAACTGAGAGCATCTTCCATCAAAAGAGAGTCCTTGGCCAAAAGAGAAGAGTCTTCGTCTTCCTCCTCCACATCTTCCTCTTCAGAAAATGGTGGTGAGCAGAGGGTTTTCCCACTTAAACTCACACTCAATGAGAACAGTCTCCCCACGCTCACCCACCCTCTCTAGGGTCTGGCTTTATACTTGAGGCAGGCCTTGGACTGCCCAGGCTGGCCATAGCCTCCTAAGTGGTGGGATCACAGATGTGCACGCGCACCATGCTCAGCTGAGAATCCCAGTCTTAAGAGCAGCTGTCCCACTCTATGTGCATTCCAGTTCCTCCAGTAGTTTGGTTTTCTGGCCATAATTTGTACGTCTTAATTTTCCCTGTGTGGGCTAGAGATGTGGCTCAGTGGTAGAGCACTTACCCAGCACAAGTAAGGCCTTGGGTTCAATTCCCAGCACCTCAGAAATTTTATAATCTCCCTGTACTTCTGCTTCCTCTTGGGTAAGTGCAGCTGTGATTCTTGTGCTTTGTGAAAGTAGTCTTCAGGCAATGTTCCCTTTCCCTCCGTGTCCCCATCTCCTCCACCATTGCCAACTTTCTACAAACGCTGTAGGATTCTCAGCTCTTTTCCAGCTCCTGCAAACGCAGACGTATAAGAAGCCTTCCTCCCCACAGATCAGCTGGACTGGGAGAACCTGGTGCACCAGAATCTCGCTGAGCTCGTGGAAGTGGATCAGGACGAGTACACTGTGTGGCCCCGAAATCTACTCTTGCGATATCTTGAGTTGCTGGAAGAGCTTCAGTATAATCTGGAGGAGCGGAAGAAACTGCAGCAGTTGGCAGGTCTGACTTTGGGACAGGCAGGGGGACCAGGAGTTCTTACCACAGGAGCAGCATATATCACCAGGGGGAAGGGAAGGGTGTCTGGCACCTCAGCTTCCCATGTGTGCCTCCCACCAAATTCTTGATTTGTGTATCACGTTCTAGGCAAGTGTCCCAGTGGCCTCTAACTTTGAGAGAATCTAGAAACTCGCTTTTCCAGCAGGGGATGCCCCGGTCCTGCCGGGTCTGGGAAGGCGTTTCCCACAAGAAGGGCGTCCAGCTCTGGTTGCTGGGAATGAGGACAAAGTGGACTCTGGTTGATGTGGCAGTCCACCCTCCTCTGTACGTTCCTGCTTTTTGAAGGTCGCATTTCAGGCCTGACTGGCAGGGCCCTGGCTCCCGTCTGAGACAGGAGCACAAGGATGCTCTTGTGGGCAATAGATGGAGAGCACAAAGCCCCCAAGTGCCCACTGCACAGCCCCCAGAGAGGTTTCTGGATTACAGACTTGTGGGCTGGGAATGTAGCTCAGCATGAAGGCCCTGGGTTTAATACCTATTACACATGTATTTTAAAAAGTCCTACTTTTTACCAGTTGGGGGTTAATTTGAATTAATAAAATTTCCCCCTAAATGTAAAACAACACAACACAAAACAAAAAACTCTTAAAGGCAGGCTTTTTTAAAAAAAAAACAGTTTAATATAGATTAGTGTTGTCTGATTATTTTCTCATACCTTGTTGAAATCAACCCAATGTGAAAATAAGAAATTAGGGTGAAGGACTCTGTGTGTGTGTGTGTGTGTGTGTGTGTGTGTGTGTGTGTGTCGGTAGGGGGCACAGGAGGGCAATAAATGACATTAGAACATGGGATTCTCTCTCATAAAACAAAACAAACAAACAAACAATGCCAGGCGTGGTGGTGCAAGCCTGTAATCTCAGCACTTGGGAGCAGGAGGATCACTGTGAGTGCGAGGCCAGCCTTGGCTACAAGGTAAGTTCAAGGCCAGCCTGAACTGCAGAGCAAAATCCTGTCTCAAAAGAAAAACAAAAAGGATTTGTGTGGGAATGTAGAACCCAGGAAAGAAACATTATTTCATCTTGTGCCAAATATGTATAAGTTTGGAAGTCTCAGTTCCGCAGCCTCACAGTTTGTTTCTTTACAGCTCAGGCACTGATGAATTTCCAAGACAGGTAACGCCTGCAGTGAAGCGCTTCGAGATTTTGGGGCCCAGCAAGAGATAATGAAGGCAATAGTTGGAAATAGAATATTCAAAATTATCAATGTCTAATAAATACTGCTAATAATATTGCTGCTGAGTGAGTTAACTAATTATGCCTCGGACACGGGAGACTGAAAGACCTAAAGTGGGGGGGGGGGAGTTAGTTCTGATGCTGGGGGCCTGCGCCATGTGACTTCCCTCCCTCCTTGTGGTGCCTGTGTCAGATTCTTTTTGATTGTATTGTTTTCAGCCCATCCCTCTGGTTGTCTTTTATTTTTTTGTATCATGAATTGAACTCAGAATCTTGTGCTTGCCAGGCAGGCGCTGTGCCCCTGAGCTAATCCCCCACCCTAGCCCATCCCTCTTGCAACCTCTACTTCCTGCTAAGAGTCCTAACGGCACTTCTCCATTCCCTAATGCACGCTGCACAGGCCTCTGTGTGGAGAGGAGGTCCCCACAGTGGTGCTGTGACAGATTGACAAGCGTCATTCCTATCATCTGCTCTGCTAAGGCTGCTTCTCGTGTGCAGCATGAACTTCAGTGAGTCACAGCCTATACTGGTCTCAGGCCAAAAGAGCGTTCCTTTTTGTGTTTCATTTCTTTGCCATTGCTCAGGGCAGTGTTGCAAGTGGTAAGTGTTCTGTGTGTGTGCGTGTGTGCCTGTGTGTATGTGTGTGTGTGTGTCTGTCTGTCTGTCTGTCTCAGGGTTGTACCCAGGGTCTCATGGATACTAAGCAAGCACTGTACCCTATGCTACACCCCAGAAGGAACACCTTTCAGAACATCACTGTTCTGAAGCTCACTAGGTGAGCTTCTGGCTGACAGTTCCTGTTTGTGCTTACTGGTGACTTACTATCTGCAGGAATCCCGTTCCATTACTGGATGACTGAAGTCTTTAGACTTGCCTGTTGAAAAAACTGTATCCTGGAGTGCTTGATGTGTAAGAAGATATTTTCATGTGTAGTACATATGTATACAGCCTGTACTTATATGTTTTCTGCATATGAAATATGTGTGTATATTCCATAAAATATCAATGTATGGAGATACTGTTCCATTTTTTAGAGACCAGAAAACTGATACTATAAAAAAGTTAGTTGGGCCGGGGCTATGGCTCAGCTATTGCCAGCACCTGCCTGGCAAGTGCAAGATCCTGAGTTCCATTCCTGATACACAAAAAAAGTTAAGTAACTGCCCAAGGACACATGCCAAGTGTCTTCTTTCTTGTTGCTGGGACAAAATACCCAAAACCCAACCTCGTACAGGAGGAAAGTTTCGTTCCGGCTCACAGTCTGTAGAGGTTTCAGTCCAGTCCCCTGGCTCCAAGGAGGGCAGCGCGACAGAGGAGAAGCAGCTCATGGCATGGTGGCAGGAAGTGGAGAGCGAGTGCAAGGGAGGAGGAGGGGGATGGGCCCTTCCAGGCCACACCCCCGGAGACCACCTCCACTGACTGGGCTTCGCCTCCTAACATCATGCTCTGCTCTGAACTCATCAGAGAACGAATCCACTCATGAGTATCCCTCTCCCATCAGAAATATGGCATGCATACTTAGAAAGTGCTGAAAATAACTATTTTAGGCATGATCATACACCTGGGGATAACAAAGATCTACTCAGCACCAATAGAAAAAAAGAGGCATGGAGACAAAGACCTAGGAAATGGGAATATTTGAGGGTTTGGGAGAGGAAGTAGTCACTCATGAGGCCTGAGAGGGAATAATTGAAGAGACAGACAGACAGCCATTCTAGAGCAATGTCTGCAGAGCCAACACATAGTTTCAGAAGGGTCATAGTCCAGTAAGATCTCGACTGAAGTATTCACGGAACCTGGCAGCCAGGGTACAGCAAGCACAACACAATGAGGAAGTCTCACCCAACACCATGCTCGGTTTGTAGCTTGGCTCCCCTTGTGGCTGGAGGACCCGCAGAGTTGGCTTCACCTGGTATCTTCTTGGCTCCAGCCCCCAGGTCGGCTGGGTCAGGTGATCTATGGTCCCAGGGGCACTAAAATTCACTAGGCTAGCACTTTCTCTGCATAGGTGAGGCCCCAGGTTCCATTCCCAGCACCAGAGAAGAAAGGGAGTTGTCAATCTGTAGATAATTTTCAGTTTATCAATACTTTATAAATTCCTGATGGGTTGTACTTCTGACTTGCTGCACCTGAACTTGAGTGGCTGTGCAAGCTGCCTCTTTAACTCTTTCTTCCATGAAAATGACATAGCTTTAACTCTGCTGTAGTAGAAGTATATTCGGTAAATATGTGTTGAGTTCCTTTGTTCCACATACTGTTCTAGGCTCTTGGAATGCTTAAGTGAATGAACAAGGTAGAAACCTGTGCTCATCCTGACTGGTTTCTCTTAAGAGGACCAAATAATCAGTTAAAGCTTCCAAGGAAAGGATCTTATGTCCTCCTTGCCTTGCTGCTGTACTCCTGAGCCCTTCTCCCACACTTACTCCCAGTCATCCTCCTTCAGCTCACTTATGTAGCCCAGGCTGGCCTCAAACTCACGGCAATCCTCCTGCCTCAGCCTGCTGAGTGCTGGGATTACAGGCATGTGCCACCACGCCTGGCTTCAACATAAATTTTAATTTCCTTTCTGTGCTAGCCAGTGTTCAGTTTTGAAGATAGGAAAACTATTCAGTAAGTGAATGTAAGCCTTTTTAATGCCAGTTTTGGAGAGTTTTCTGATTTTTGCTACTCTTTCAAGATACGTATCTGAGAGACAAGCAGAGATCTTCATGAAGTTTACCTTTGTATTTTTCCTACTAGGTGGCCTGGAGTGGGATATTTTTAACTTTTTATTTAAAGTTAAATACTGTAATACCAGCATTTGGGAGGCTGAGGCAGGAGAATTGCTACAAGTTCAAGGCCAGCCTGGGCTACATAGTGAACTCAAAGCCAGTCAGAACTACATAGTGAGACCTTGTCTCAAAAAAATAAATAGATAAAAGGTTAAATAGAAGGGGATGGATATTTTGCAAATAAGAAGGGGCCCAAGAGACCAAGAGGTGAGGGAGAAGGAAAGGAGAAATAAGTAGAATAAAGATATACCATGTAACAGGAACCTAGTAACCTCAGTGAGTGGAAACATTATGTGCCATAAACATGAGCTGAAATTAATAATATCAACAAGAATGAAAATGAGAAAAGGGGAATCAGTAGAAGAGAGCAGGAAGGAGATTTTAAAAGGAGGAAAGTTGTGTTATATACATGTACCCATTCACCAAGATGATTGTAAATGGTATATACTGCAAACATGTACTAACAAAAAATAAAGTTAAATAAAAATGTGGTGATACATGCCTATAATCTCAGCTACTTGAGAGGCTGAAGCCGGAGGGTCAAGAGCTTAAGGCCAGCCTGGGCAATTTAACAAGACCTTATCTCCAAAAAATAAAATAAAAAGTACTGGGGGTGTATATAGCTTGGCAGTCCCTGGGTTCAAGCCCCCATAGCACAAGGAAAGAAAAACTCACATAGAAACGCTTTTGGACTTACGGAAGAGTTACAGAGATACCAGTTCCTATATGCCTGTCATCCAGCTTTCTCTATTAATATCTGTGATACAAGGAGGAAAGCTAAGAAATCAACGGTGTGAAATACTAACAACAAAACTATTTGTCCCTCTCACATTCCAGGACCCAGTCCAGAATAAAACACTGTATTTAGTTGCTGTGTCTCCTTAGTCTCCTCTGGTTGTGACAGTTGCCTTAGTCTTTCCTTGTCTTTTATGACCTTGGTGCATTTAAAAAATTCTAGTCTGGTACTGTGCAGAATGTCCCTCAACTTGGGTTCATGTGCTGTTTTTAGAAGAATTACCACCACAATAAAGTCCCCTTCTCAGGACATCATACAGAAGGTATGCATTCGTAAGGTAGCTTAGTAGTAGGGACATTAACCTTGATCCCTTAGGGCAGTGTCTCCTGGGTTTCTTTCCTGTGAAGTTAACTATTTTCCCTTTACAACTAATAAATATTTGGGAGGTGATACTTTGAGGTTACATAAGTACTTGCTTTTCCTTAAACTTTTGCCCACTAATTTTAGCTTTCATCAGTGGATCTTGTTTGCAGTCATTACTACAGAGGGGTTCTATTTATCTCATTCTTTTAACACTTACTGATGGGAGTTCTTTCATAAAGAAGAATTGTCCCTTCTCTCAAGTGAACACTTTAGGTCCTTAGCCACATGGAAGCACCAAGCTGCTCACGGTGTAGAGACCTTAGCATCTTTAATGTGGGCCAGAGATATGTGGAGTTGGCCCAGTTTATTTAACAACTCCTTTATTTAACACTGTTTTCATAATAGTTTTAGGCACAAGTCCTAGTCTCCGCTGACACTTATGGTCTAGTTTTCTGATTTTTGCCAGGATGAGATGATTTTTGCTAGGATGAGATGACACTTGGATGTCTGCCTTGGAGACTGGGCAGACTCCTCTCAGTAGCATATTTCCCCACGAAAGCCTGCCTAGGACAAACAAGAGTACTGTATCTGACCGCCTCTCTGCCTGTTTTTCTCCCCTCTTCAGTTAGGACAAACTGGGCCTCTTCTCCTGTCATCGGTGTCGGCTCTCTCCACTTCTAACCCGAGGCCTTCGCTGCTTCGCCTTTTCTTCCCAAATCTCATACTAAGTTTTCTTTTGGCCAACTGTAATATAGAACCATGTAGGAAAGAACTTCTGCAGGACAGTGATTCCAGTGTGTTTAAAGTGACAAAGTTCAAAACCGCCACAGGTTGTTTTGACGATGTGTCTTCAGTGAAATTTTTTCTGTCTTTGGCTCCGTGACATCTGTTCAGATTTTCATTTGGATGACTTTCTCTCCGCTTTGGTTTCTGGCCACCTTTCCACGCTTTATATGCATGGTTCTCAGTTATTGCTCTTATTCTGTGCATGCACATGCTCACACACACACACACACACACACACACACACACACAGTCTAACTAGGTTCATCCACTTTAATTGTTTCAAAGATGAAAGATGATGTACGCTAATGACTTTCAATTCCGTCTTCAGTCCAGGCCTTTCTGCTAATCCCCGTGAGGACTGCCAGTTTCCTCATTGATCCACTCTCTGCTTAATTCTGGA